CCTCTGAGGCCTGTGGCATCAGGGTGTGGATCCCACAGGCTTGGGCAGCCCCCACTTCTGTAACTTTGCCAGCTGCAACCCACATGGCCCCACTTGCTGCTGGGGCCCTCCTTGGCAGGTGTTCCCCATTGCTGGCATCCTCAGCTTCCTGGGGTGCCTGCCGCATACTTAGCCTCACTCTTTCTGTCTTATTGTGAGCCATCTCATATGGTGTGCAGAGACTTCGACCTTCCGGCGTATTGCCTGGCATCCTAGGCTGTCCTTTGGAATCTGGGTGGAAGCTGCTCCGACCCCTTAACTCATTCTGCAGGCCTGCAAAACTGGCATCATGATGTCACTGGTGATGTCAAGGTCTGTTCCCAGCTCAAGAGGCAGTCAGGAGGTTTGGACTGGTGACTGCAGTGGCCTCTGACACCTGGATGGTTGAATATGGGTAAAAAAGTTCCCTAGGTGCCTCTTGCAAAAGGAGTGTCAAGAAATCAGTCTTTTCCTCTCTTTTTCCTTCCTTGTCTCCCTCCCTTCCTCTTTCTCTTCCTCCCTCCCTTCCTGCCTCCCTTTCTGCCATGTGTGTGTGTTGCGTACATATGTGTGCTTGTAGAGGCCAAAGGTTGACATTGAGCAGTGAGCAGGGCCAGGTAGGCACTGTCTCCGAAGGCACAGGAAGACAAGGGCTCCCCAAGACCCTGCCCTTCTCACCTAACTTTAGTTTTGGGAATGTAGAGAAAGATCTTGGGACCATCAGGGTCCTCAGGAAGTGGAGTCAAGCTTTGGATTCCATCATCCCGGGGTACAGCAGAGGGTGGTCCTTCATTTCCCCAGCAGCCTGCGCTGTCATCAGACTCTAGCTGTCTTGCTGTTCCAACACAGTCCCTTCCCTCTCCTGAGCACTTCCAGCTTTCATGTGTCCACAGACCAGTGGGTCTCCTCCACCCAGGTGTACATCACCACCTTCATCCACCTGCACTGCTTCCCCTCCCCATCCCTCTCCCACCCCATGACTCCAGAGAAGGCCTCCCTCATGTGGCCAGCTGCTTTACTCACGGAAGAGCCCACAGGGCTCCCAGGGTTGCTCTCCTTTGTGACTCCCTGAACCCTTCTTCCCCCAGCCTACGGTCCCTCCTTCAGGCCTCAGGGTTTAGAGGATGCTGGGAGCATCTGAAACACTAGGCTCCAGGGTTCTCAGGCTCATGGGACTTGGGGGCTCCTCGGTTCTCTGTTTTCTTGCTCCACCCTTCTGCCTGGGTGACTTCATCGGTTCCCATGGATTGAAAAACCTTGACTTGGTGAACTCCAAATTTGTCTCCAGTCTTGATCTCCCCTCTGACCTCTGGACCCAAATATCCGGCTGTCCCCTTTGACAGCTCCCTGTGGGGTCTCCCAGATCACGACTGATCTTGGGCTTCAGGAACTTTGTCGCCAGGCCTTTCCCAGCACCCTCATCTCAGGAGATCCGCATAACTTCACAGAGCATCTTCCCCATCTCCTTCCTCCTGGCCCATGTCCACTCTCAGGAACCCTCTTACAGACGATCCCACCCCACGGAGGCCTAGGGCAGGGCCTACTACTGTAGCATAGAGAGTAGACAGGGTTGTCTCTGTTAAGCTCCACTACTGTAAAGACCCTCAAGAACATGTCTAGGGACATGTGGGGAAGTTGCTTCTTCTTAGCTTAGGATGGAGCTCAGTTCCGTAGAAGCAGGGCCACTGTTCTCCTGGGGGCTGCTGTGCAACGGCACGGATCTCTCTGGGGACCGCTATCCAATGAGGTCATACAGACAGAAAGCAGAGACTTTTGATAGATGCATTATGTTCCCAGCCACTGGGGGTGAGGACTGCTGACCCCCACCACTGCTGGTAGTGCAAACTCTTCAGGCAAGTTCCCAGACTGCAACAGACCTCATTTCCCATGCAAGCCCTGGCTCTGGCGTTTGTAGTGTGGGAGATAAATTTGAAGCTGCAGTGGTGGGGAGAGTAAGGGGAGCTGTGCTGGTCCCTGATGATGACATCAGCCTTGGGCAGCCATTTTTGTGGAGTATTTAGTGAGCAGATCCTGCCGGCTGAATCTCAACCTGCAGGTCACAGAGCTTGGAACAAAACTATAGCACACAAGCCTGTGCGGAATGGAAAGGGAATAGCCAGAACTCCGAGTGAAGGTTATGATGCTTGTGTATCCCACCAAGGGTGACAGAGTGTGAGGCGGTCACTGTCCTGCAGCTGGCCACAGGGTCCAAACCATCGGCCCTATTCCCTTATGTCTCTCCAGCCCTGCATCTGCTTTTCATCCATCTATTCATTTAGTCGTCCACGCGTTCATGCGTTCATTTAATCATCTCCTTACTCATCCAGCCTTTCAGTTGCGTGTTCATTCAGTCATGCGTGTGCGTATTCACTCACTTGTGCACTCCTTTGCTTGTACTTGCTCATTCATTTACTTGCTCATTCGTATATTAGCTCCACTGGCTTAGCCACTGTTCCTTTGCTCTGAAGAGACACTATGACCAAGGCAACTCCTAGAAAAGAAAGTATTTTATCGAGGGACTTGCTTACAGTTTCAGAGGTTAGTCCATTGTCATGGTGGGGAGCATGGCAGCCCATAGAATGGTGCTGGAGAAAGAGCTGAGAGTTCTGTATCCTGATCCACACCAGGAGAGAGAGGGAGAGGGAGAGAGAGGGAGGGAGGGAGAGAGAGAGAGAGAGAGAGAGAGAGAGAGAGAGAGAGAGAGAGAAGAGAGAGAGAGACTGACTGGGTCTGGCATGGGCTTTTAAACCTCAAAGACCACCTCCAGTGACACACTTCCTAATCCTTCTAATTCTTCCACAAGTGCCACTCCCTGATGGTGAGCATTCAAAGACATAGTCCTGTGTGATGACTAACATCTAAATACATGGTCCTATAGGGGCCATTCTTATTCAAACGGCCACACTCACTCTCTGCTCAGTCATTCACTGGCCTGTTTATATATCTGCTCATCCATCCCCTCATCTCTCCACCTGCACATTGCACATCTGTCCTTCACTTCTTCACCCATGTTTCATCTGCTGAGCACCTGCCACGCCCTAGTTTTGTATTTGGTGCTGAGAATGGGAATGGAGCAAAGAATGAAAGAAGCGTTTGTACCTTTAAAGGTCACGTTATGGCGGGGAGAAAGGCCCACCGTTTAGGGCAGTCAGACATTTACAGTGATAGGCATGATCAAGGGTTACCTAGAAGAGAAAGATGGTCTGGATGGTGGTGGCTCAAGCCTTTAATCCCAGCACTCGGGAGGCAGAGACAGGAGGATCTCTGTGAGTTTGAGGCCAGCCTGATCCATCTGCAGAGAGAAACCCTGTCTTGAAAAGAAGAAGAAGAGAAAGATGGACTTCACATATATGTAGATGTATACATGTAGGTATGTATAGGGATCATATGTTTATGCATGTGTGTGTGCACGTTTTTGCTTTTGTGAGTGAGTGTACTCAAGTGTATGTTTGTGTACATGAGGGAGAGTGTATAGGTGTGTGCATGAGTGCGTGTCTTGGTCCATTCTGTGTTGCTATAACAAAATAACTGAAAGTGAATAATTAAAAGAAAAGAATCTAAGCATAGTGGTGCATGCTTAAAATCCCAGTATTAGGGAGGCTAAAGCAGGAAAATTGTGAGTCCCAGGCCAGCCTGGGCAATACAGTGAGTTCCAGGCTAGCCTGGGCTACATAGTGTTCCCATCTCAAACAAACAAGCGAAGTTTATTTAACTCATGGTCTCAGAGGTGGAAATCCATCTGTTCGGCCTCATGAAACATGGCAGAGCAGCAGTAAAGGACAGGGCCACACACAGGAGATGGCACACACATGGGGTGACCTTGTCGTGACTAACTCTTGCTGGAACTAACCTGCTTTCCATGAGGACTGCATCAATCCCTTCACACAGGGCCCCTCTTCTTAAAGGCCTCCTTGCCTCCATCAGCACCAGGCTGAGCATGGAGCTTCTAGTGCATGGACACACAAGGTACATTTGAAATATAGCCACACACACACATACACGCACACACGCACGCACGCACGCATGCACATGCTTTCCCTTTCCCAGGTGAAGGGTGGGGAGGAAGAAGTGTTCAAATTTTAAGACAAAGGGAGCCACATAAGGCCTTTCCTGGGCTGGCCTCCTAATCCCAACTCTTTACACACGTGTCCCCAGCCAGCCTCTTTTGTTTTTTCAACAGTCTGATGTAGCATTAATAATAAAAACCCAGAGACAGATATTATTGTTCGGGCTGAAAACCAGAAAAGAAAGCAGCTAAGCCACTAGAGAAGTCTTACCTCTCCCAAGGCTAGGCGACCGTAGACAAAGCAGCCAAAGCCTCTCCTCCCGTTTTATATTCCCTCTAGTGATGGGGTTAAAGGTGTGTGACTCCCTAGTACTGGGATTCAAAGTGTGAGGCACCAGTACCTGGGTTTGTTTCTGCTTGATCTTCTGTAGCCCAGGGTAGCCTTGACTCACTGGGATCCATCTGCCTCTGTCTCCCAAATCCTGGGATTAAAGGTGTGTGCCACCACTGCCTGACCTCTAGTGTCTTAGCTTTGCCCTTCTGATCGCTAGGCGACTTTATTTATTATGACATAAATAAAATATCACGACAGTGTGATTCTTGTGAGTCTGTCCCCTGTATCAGCTGTGGGCAAGAGCCATGTGACAATTCCAAGAAAACTCCCAGGATAGGGTCCAGGGGCCAGTGTAGAGGCTGGGAGGTGCCAGGACCCCGATACTGGCCACTAGTGGATTAACTGTTAGAAGTCCTGATGGTGAGACCCAGGGGCTCAGTTAGTTGGATGAGCGAGAAAGACCTACACTGCATTGGGGCCAAGTCTGGGGCCTGTCTCTGGACAGCCTGGATGCTAGGTGTGGCAAGCAGGGTCAGGGGTTATGTTTGAGTGCGGGGTCGGGGGCAGGACAGAACTGCTAGCCACACTTTGCCAAACTGGCGTGGGCGGGCGGTGCTTTGGATAGTCCTGGAACATAATAACAAGCCCTGATCACTCATCAGAGCAGTCACGCAGCGGCAGTAGGCACAGAGAGGCACGTGGTAAGGTTCCCAAGGCTGAATGGAGTCTGGGGAGTAGAACAGATGCCTGATCCAAAGACATGAATAGATGTGCGGGGTAGTAGGGGTAGGGGGTGGGGGAGGCTGACAGCTCCTTGCTCCCTGACTGGTGGCTAGTTCTGCATTGGTTGGCTTGGGCTCTGCATTTAAGGCAGGGTATCTCTTGATTGTTTGAATATCTTCATTTCATGGGCAACTTCAGTCAGCCTCAGAGGTCCCCAGGGTGTCTGTGTGACTCCAGTTTGCCACATTCTGAGTGCCTGGGGCAGCGGTCCCACAAGATCCACTCGGGAGCCCCATTCATAGAGCAGGTAGGAGTCATAGTGCACTGGCAGGAAGGCAAACTGGTGTCACCGAGGAGTGAGGACAGCACGATTAATAAAACCCGCAGGCAGAAATCGAGGTTCAACCTGAAGGTCAGAAAAGCAAAACAGCCAGCCACTGGCTCTTACTGCTACCTCAGTCCAAAACGACGATTCTGCCTCCAGGAATCTCAGAATGAGACTGAGCCTGAGAGCTGTCTCCTCCCATCTTATATTACTCTCTAGGGCTGAGATTAAAGGCGTGCACTACTACCTGCTTGGTTTCTATGGCAAATTAGTGTGGCTACTGAGATTAAAGGTGTGTGTCACCACTGCCTGGTCTGTGAGGCTGACCAGTGGGGCTCTTTTACTCTCTGATCTTCAGGCCAGCTTTCTTTATTAAAATACAAATGAAACATCACTACCAGTGAGTATGTCGGTGAGTGCATGCCGCGGAGCTCTCCCTTTAACTGCCCCCTTCAACACAAGCTGCTTTCCTAAAAAATCTGCTTCTGGCTCAAGAAATCCCTTGTGTTTTTTTCTTTTTACTTCCTTAATTCATTTTTAATTTCTTGTTATACGTGTGTGTGTGTGTGTACATGTTTGTGTGTGCACAAGTATGCAAATGTGAGTGCAGGCCAGAGGTCAGCATGGGGTAATTTTCTCTACTGCTCTCTACCTGGTCTTCTAAGACAGGGTCTCCCTCTGAACCTGGGGGTCCCCGTTAGCTAGGCTGGCTGACCAGGAGCCCCAGGGACCTGCCTGTCTGCCTCCAGTGCTGCAGTCCCGCCCCCACTTTGGCTTTTGCGTGGGTTCCAGGGATCCACACTCAGGTGTCAGACTTGCACAGCAGGCCCTTCACCCTCTGAGCTGTCCTGCGGCCCGGTGTTGACTTTCTACAACTGCAGAATGACGCACTTGGCGGCTGGGTCCCCAGGCAGAGTGTTGAACTTGCAAGGTTTCTTCTGAGCCCGGGAGCCGTGTCCAGGTGACACATCACCAGCAAACCCCTACTATGTAGATTGTTGCCGTGCTCTACTTGTGAGCAACCACGATGGGAGGCAGCCACACATATTTTGAGCAGATGTAACCTTTTGTGAAATATGGCCCCCCAGCTGGCTGAATCTGCAGCTGTGGGACCTATGGACACGGAGCCTGGCCACCCTGTGGAGTAAAGGTAGCAGGACATAGCTCAAGTAGCCGCATCTTCTGTCTATGAAAGCTACAGTCCAGGCGTGGATGGAGCCAGGCTCATCCTTGGTGTGGAGCCTCAGGACTCACTCTGACCTCTGAGTGTGTTCCGCCGCACCAGCCTTCCGCCAGGCTCACCTACCTGATCCGCATTTGTGTAGTTCATCCATCCAATTATACAGCCCCACCGTATCCAGACACCTGGAGGAGACGACACACAGGAGAGTCGCAGGGGTTGGGGTTCTAGGAGTCACCTTAGACTGTTACAAACCTTGCTTTCCTGGGCTGGGGCCTGAGTCTGCCCCTAGGGTAAAGAGTTAGGCTTACGGGGTGAGTGACTGGGCAGGAGTGGAGAAGAGAAGATTTTCAGTCAACTGTGGCCTTCATAGAACCAGGGCCCGTGCCTGGCTCCTTTCTGAAGAGTTGTCGTGGCAACCTATGCTGGGGTACCAGTTATGCTTCAAGGCCCACCTGTGTGAGGAATGATGGCCTGTCTGTCCCCAGGGTCAGAGTCTGGGTAGAGCTGCAGTGTGCAGGGGCTGGGTGTGATGGTTAGGGCTAATTGCTTAACTTGACCAAATGCAGAGTCACCTGGGAAGAAGTCCCTGAGACTATCTGAGGGAGCATCTTGTTTATGTTAACGGAAATCCTGCCCACTGTGGGTGGTACCATTCCCTAGGCATCTATCCTTGACTTTTAATAGACTGAGTTCTTTTTTGTTTTGTTTTTGTTTTTTGTTTTTTGTTTCTTTTTTATTAATTTATAAAAGTTTCCACTTCTGTCCCTCCTCCCAATATCCTCCCACTCCCCCCACTCCCTTCCCTCCTCCCTTTCCAGCCCTAAGAGCAGTCAGGGTTTCCTGCCCTGTGGGAAGTTCAAGTTCCTCTCCCCTCCCTCCAGGTCTAGGAAGGTGAGCATCCAAACAGACTAGGATCCCAAAAAGCCAGTACATGCAGACGAAACAAGACCCAGTGCCATTGTCAATGGCTTCTCAGACAGTCCCCATGTCAGCCACATTCAGAGAATCCGGTTTGATCACATGCTCATTCAGTCCCAGTCCAGCTGGCCTTGGTGAGCTCTCATTAGATCAGTCCCCTTGTATGAGGATCAGGACTCCTCACGGTCCTGCCTTCCTTGTTCATATTCTCCCTCCTTCTGCTCCTCATTTGGACCTTGGGGGCTCAGTCCAGTGCTCCAATGTGGGTCTCTGTCTCAATCTCCATCCATCATCGGATGAAGGTTCCCTCTGATCCTGCCTTCCTTGCTCACGTTCTCTCTCCTTCTGCTTCTCATTTGGACCTAGGGAGTTAAGTCCAGTGTTCCAATGTGGGTCTCTGTCTCTATCTCCATCCATCGCCAGATGAAGGTTCTATGGTGATATGCAAAATATTCATCAGTATGGTTATGGGCCAAGGCCAGTTCAGGCACCCTCTCCTCTGCTGTCTAGGGAACAATCTGGGGATCTCCCCTTGGACCTGGGAACCCCTCTAGAATCAAGTCTCTTGTAAACCCTAAAATGGCTCCCTTAGTTGAGATATATACTTCCCTGCTCCCATATCCATCCTTCCTCCCTCCCCCATCCCAATCCCCCAAGCTTTCCCCAATCCTCCCCTACTCCCTTCTCTCTAACCCTCTCCCCTCCCATCCCCCCACCCCCAGACGGAGTGTTTGCTGAACCTCCGGACCGGGGATTCGAACACGGATCCCTGCGGTGGAGTGTGCAGCACTTAACCACTCAGCCACGTGGGCTGCAGCTAGACTGAGCTCTTTAAGTTTGTGTGTGTGTCCCCGCTGTGTGCAGACTTGTCTCTGCGTTCAAGTTCTCCATCTTCCCAAAGACACTGCCCATCCCAAGGATCCCCTTAACTGACTTACGTGTGAAATTACTCTGGGGCTCAGGTTGGCAGCCTAGCATGCGCTGAGACCCAGGTTCTATCCTCAGCACAATAATAATAATAATAATAATAATAATAATAATAATAATAATGGTAATGGTAATGATAATGATAATGATAACAATAACAATAATAATAATAATAATAATCTTTCTTCTGATAAATCAGAATCTGGAGGTCTGATTTAGTTCATAGTCACCACTGCCAGCTAGAGAACCATCCACACTCGCTGGTTCTGGGTAGCCTGGCTGGCCTCCTGGAAGGGAGTGGCAAGTCAGGTTTCATTGGGGCAAGGCCCAGGGATGCCTGGGTAGACTGGTATTTTCACTGCGTGGGACCCTGCAGTCCCATGGTAGAACCCAGGTCTGTGTTAGTTCTGGGAGGTCCTGACTCCTGGCCAGTGGCCTCAGGGTTATTAGTTGCTTTTCTTCTCTTCCCTGGATAACAGCTTCGCCATTGATCCTGTACTGGGTTTATTTTGCTGGAAAAGGGTCAAATTCCAGTGTTCGTGGGCCTGTGTGTACCCCAGGCCAGCTGACCTGGCTGCTTCCCAGGGTTTGAGCTGGAAGAGGACCCGGGCCAGACCGCGCGCAGCCTGATACGACCTTGCTCATTCCTATAGCAGGGCAGAGGTGATCTGTGCCTATCCGAGGAAGTACGTCCCTGTCAGCAGAATTGTGCAACCCCTTTTCTTTGAAACCCAAAGTCTCTCTTCATGTCCCCATACACAGTTTCTCCCTGGCAACGGCATCGTCATAGCTTCATGGTTGGGTGGGGGTGGGGGGCACTAAAGAAAGATGGAGATGGCCCAGTTGGTCCAGGGCTTGCTGTGCACACCTGTGTTTGAGCCCCTGCACCCATGCAAAAGTGCTTGGTGGGGTGCACACTTGTAACCTCAGCACTGGGGAGGCAGAGACAGGAAGATCCCTAGGGCTGACTGGCCAGTCAGTGTCGCCAAATCCAGGTTCAGTGAGAGATACTGACCTTGGCGGCCATTTGGTAAGTCACGTGTGTTCCTTGGGCATCACTACAATATTGCTAAGGTGGTGTCCCTGTCCATCTGTCACCCTGAGGACACCTGAAGCCTGCACACTGCTCTAGGGAGGACTTTTTCTGTCCTGCCCGTCACCCCACGTCTCTGGGCAGGTGTGGAGGGCATGAGGCCAGCACACTACTAATGGAGAAAGTGTCACTCTGGGGTGAACGGACAGTCCTGACCCCTCACTTTCAATCCGTGGATGAGGTAATGGGGATCTTGTCTGTTCCCATCTATTAGGAGAAGTCAGGAGTCCCAGCAAGAGGCTCTTGGAGCAAAAAGACATAGGGCAGGTCCTGCCTGGCTTCAGATAACCGTGGTCAATCCCATCCTGCCTCTAGCTAGGGTGGCCAGCGTGACTCTGGCGTCTTTGGCTGTGCTGTGAGGGTGGCCCCATTTTTCCATGTCAGTGAGGGGGATAATGTGGCCACTGGGTACCTCTGGCTCACAAGCCAAGCGATGGATTTTGCCTGTGCTCCTGCGTGACTGTAGATGGGGCATGTTTATACACCTGTCGGGAAGCTCCATAGATGGAGGGCTACATCCCAGTGTCCTTCAAATCAGGGCCTTGAGTGGTGGCGAGCATAGGCTGGCTCCAATCATGTTGGTCTCCTTTGTCCTTGTGACTCATTTAGGGAAGAGCCACTTTGGGTGTGACAGTACCTGCCTGTGATCCCAGGGGAGGTGGGAGGATCTCTGTGAGTTTGAGGCTAGCCTGGTCTATACAGCTTGTTCCAGACCAGCCAGGGCTACATTCTGAGGTGCTGGCCGAAACCTAGCTACCAGCCCTGGCTGCCAGTATCTGTCTGAGCACTGGGGTTGTGGTAGGGACCAAAATAAGCTTCTGTCCTCAGGTGGCAGTTCAATCTGCAGCAAAGACGAAAGCAGGGGAGGCCGTGTGGCCTTGAGGGCCACACAGGGGCTGCCTCCTGTCTGTGGAGGGTCCTTCAGAACACTGGTAGGGACACTGGGAGGAGACACACACAGGCCAGGGTCAGGAGATGCACCTGTGATGGCGGCCACTTGACCAACTGCAGCCTGTACATAGGACAGGGCTGGGACTAGTGCAGCGCACATGCTGATAACCGGGCCTAAGAAGACCTACGGTGCTGAGATGCCTTTGGGATGTGTGCTGGCTGTGGGGCTGGTTGTCTCCTCTGTGACCTATGGTGTTATTCCACACGGCTCCTCCTCGCTGCACCTGCCTCAGACACCATGGACACACTAGGAGCCGTCAAGCAATTCCCGAGACCACAGACCTCACAGCAGCCCTGCTGGGCCCCAGCACAGTCTCCAGTTTGAAAGCAGATTGCCGGACATTGCCTTGCAGGCCATGTTGCTGAGTCACAGCGAGACCTGACCACAGGACATGTTTGAAATTCCAGGACTGGCTCTACAGTGGCAAGCCTTCTTGCCCTGCAGCAGGTCCAGCTTCACCAGGTCCAGAATTCCAGCCTTGCAGAAGTCCCTGGGGCAGGAGACGTGGGAATGGAGACCGGAGGCATGGACTAGAAGGTCACAGGCTGAGCACCCTTTGCTGTCTTCCGCAGGGACTGTCATCAGCAGATCACCCTGTGGTCCCCATCTGCACCAAGGAGAGCAGCAGGCATTAGTGGCAGGAGAAGTGTTCAGATCCCCAAGCTCTGGCTACTTACTGAGGTGTGGATCTTCCTAGAGATGAAAATGTTTCGATGTTGCAATTCATGAGGCATAAGATTTTAAAATGTAAAAGAGGACCCCAAGAGATGGCTCAACAGGTGAGGGAGCCTTTTACCACACCTGCCTGTTTGAGTCTGTGTATTGTGTATGTGTCTACTAGTGAGCACACATGTTCTTGTGTGTGTGGGCATCCGCGTGGAGGCCAGAGGGTAATGCCAGGAGTCTCTACAAGGTGTTCTCCACTTTAACTTTTGAGACAGGGTCATTCACTGAATCTGTGACTCACCGGGTCTCAAGCATCCTTCTGTCTGTTCCCCAGCACTGGAATTATGGATATGCACCCTGCACACAGCTTTTCCATTAGCATCTGAACTTGGGACCTCATTCCTCTGCAGCAAACCCTTGGCTTGGTCACCATCCTCAACAGCTCAAACACCAAATAGCAGTGAAAAGCAGAGAGGAGAGTCACTCTGTGCGGCCACCTTGGGAAGAGGGACAAAGAGGTCCAGAGACTCCTGAGTCTGTCCTCGGGGTCCGGACATGGGGTTCAGGGTTAAGCAGAGGGCAGGAGGTGTGCATAGCTAAGCAGTCCTGGTCAGGGTGTGGTCCTGCCCATCACCGACTCATCACTGTCAGCTCCAGGTTCTCCTGCAAGGCGGTCTGACAAGTTCTCAGAACTCTGAGATCTCTCTGGGAGACAGGCTCCCCCTCTGGCTGGCACCAGGCTTCAGCCTTTCTCTTCCCCAGCATGAGACTCCTGGGAAAATTCCAGTGTCTTGGGGTCCATTGTTTGAACAGCCTGATGGCCGAAGGGCAGGGCACGTGTGTCTCTCGCATCTCCCTCTAGAATCTTTCACTCGTGCCAGGATGGTGACACTAGACCAGACTTGACATCTTCTGCCTCCTCCCTCAGCAAGGCGAGGGGGCACTTGCTAACTGGGTGCTTGCACACCCCACCAGAGGAAAGCTGGTCCGCACACACAGACCATCTGCCTGGCCTCGGGCCCACAGCCTATTTCTCCACAGGACACAGGCTTTGGGTCTCTGTCTGAACCAGTTCCCATCTGGGAAGTACAGGTAAGGCTTTGCTAGGGTCATGGGACCCATGACAGCTCACCTCCTAAGTCAAGCACTGTTAGTGATGGCTAGGTGCTCAGGGTTGCAGATGGCAGGGAGGAAAGCCTGTGTTGTCAAGGAGCTGTTGGTGACGTTGCATCCGTGTGTTCTCCCAGGAGCCGTGAAGCCACACCGTGGTTGGATAGAGTCTCTAGGACCTCTGTAGATGGAGAACTGGGTGGGGTCCAGAAATGGAGCTCTGAGGTCCCATGGAAGGAACTGTGCCTCAATCAGAACTTCTTTTGATTTTTTAGGGTTGAGGATTGAACTTAGGGCTTCACGTGCTAAGCAAGTACCATACCGTGGAGCTGCAGAGACAGGGCTGCTTTCAGTTGTCCAGGCTGGTGTTGAACTGGTGGTCTTCCAGCATCGGGAGGAGGTTCACAGAGGTGCACAGCGGACGAAAGAACGAGAGACCAAGCTGGGGTGCGGCCTGCCTCCACGATGTTAACGGTAGGTAGAGGAGGGTCTTGAACTTGGGCCCCTCCTCTGCTGCTAGTCTAGAAGTTTCTGCCTGGAGTCTAACATGGCTCTGACATCTTCTGCTGCTGGCTCAGTACAAAGTCCTTCCAGGGCAGGTGAAGAGGAACACAGAATCCAGCCAGTGCTGCAGCTGTTCTTGAGGTTGGGGCAGCTATGGGAGTTGGGCAGGCAGGTGCAGCAAGCACCTCCAACCCCAATTTAGGCGTTGACCTCTGCCAGTGCAGCAGCCTCCCCCCGCCCTCACCTCCCAGTAAAGCTGTTCCAAGGAGGCCCAGGAAGGAACAGGGCCCTTTGTGCCTCAGGCAGTTCCTAAGGCCCAGACCCAGTTCAGGCGTAGAACGTGGAGCTTCCAAATGGAAGGAAGGCCCAAACCTCCTGAGTGAGGTGGGAAGATGCCAGGCCTGCCCACAGTTGTAGACGTTTATGTATGATTTCTGGACTCAGTGTTCTTAGGGTGGGGTAGGACACAGACTCTGTCATCATACTTCCTGTGAAAACAGGAAGTTTGGGGGTCAGTAGTAAGAGTTGGAGAAGGGAAGAGAGACTGCACTGAATGAGTTTAAGTTGGGGCAACCCCCAAGGTTCAGGCTAGAAGGAGTAGCCACCCCAAGACTACAGAGTATAGGGCTAGTCTGGGAACTGCTGACTTTGCCTAGCTATACCATCCCAGGCTCTGGTCCTTTGGCCTATTGGTCCCTGATTTCCCGTGGATCCTAGGGAGGTAGATATGTCATCAGCTTAGAACTGAGTGATATAGTCACAGTACACTCAAGGAGACTTGTTCGCCTCCTCTGCTCCTCAGTTTCCCTTCTGTAACTGCTTTGAGGAGTGGTTAGAAGTGATTGTGGCCATGACCGTGTGAACCATGACCCTCTGCAGGCACCGCCTTCTCTCCAAAGGCCCCTGCTCAAGTGACAGCCTTGGAAGTCACGCCCTCAGTCACAATCCAAAACCACCTCGAATCCTTGCCTGCTGGAGCTTTGTCAGGAAAGAGGGGGTGTTGGGAGCCTCTCCCCATGACTCCCGCCTGAAACTTAGGACTGGAGTGAGCAGGGCTACAGCCCAGCTACCCCAGGACCCCAGGCTCACCTTCCTCAGCTCTTCCTTCAGTCCCTGTTTGCCCCCAACTTCCTCCTTGCACCCCTGCCCCCCACTTCCCTTCCTTTTGGGGTGAAAGGAGCAACTGCCTTTCTGTGCGCTTCTATTTCTGCACCTTCCGCTTCCTGCAGAAAGTTCTGGAATCCACAAGGCCAGCTGGCCCTGAGGGCAGGATGTGGGGGGCCTCAGATTTCCTTTTCTCCAGCAGCCTACTGCATGGCTGTGTGGTCCGTGGAGGTAAACTTTCACTGGCATGTGCGTTGATCGCCTCCTGTGTGCAGGCTGTGGACTCTGAGAATGCACCACAGGACAGAGACAGACACTCACACAGTCTCTTGCAAGCAGCCTTCCAGGTAGGCTTTGCTCTGCCACAGCTTTCTAGGCAAAGGACAGATATATCAAGCGAGCTATACAAAGGGAACAACTGAGGCAGGGCAGGTCCTCACAGACAGTGCTGCTGGGCCCAGGACTCAGCTCAGCTAGTGGAGTGCTCACCTAGCCACAGGTGAAGCCACCCCGGGTTCCATCTCCAGCACTGCACAAACCGTGTGTAGTGTTGCATATATGTCTTCCAGCACTTAGAAGGTAGGGGCAGAGTTCAAAGTCTTCCTCGGCTACCTAGAGAAGTCAAGGGCAGCCTGGGCTACATGGGACTCTTACAAAAAAAAAAAAAGAAAGAAAGAAAGAAAGAAAGAAAGAAAGAAAGAAAGAAAGAAAGAAACTCATATAGGTGAGACGCAGGGCTCTTCCGTTTTATGCTCTCTTGAAAGTGTGAAGTGTGTATGAAGGAGACACAGAGAAGAGGGGGAGGGAGACATGGCTGGTGCGGCTGACGAAGTTTCTGGAAATCCCAATTGTTTTTGAGCCTCTCGGCATTCCAGGGTTTGGGTGGGAAACATTGCAACACCTGTGGCCTCAGGGCCCAGGTAAGACAGTGCAGGTGTTGGGAGGGGACCCCTTTGTCATCATTGTGATTTGAAGGGTGGGGCTGGGCCTGCCTGGCCTCTGTCCCACACAGGGCAGTGCTATGGTCCCCAAGAGCAGGTGCAGAGCCAGCCCAGTGAGCAGGAGCAGCAGCCACCGCCGGGCATGTGCAGGAATCAGAGCTGGGGACCCCCCTGGGGGAGGGGCCTGAATCTCTGTCTCTGCTGCCTGTCAGGCCAGAGTCCACCCTTTTCCTTCCTTCTCCACCTGCTCCCTTGAAAGCAGCTCTGGTTGTTTTGTTGAATCTGAACTTCATTGAGTGATAATTTCCCTTGGTTTGAAGATTAACTTCTAAGGACTGGAGTGCTTACTGTATAAGCATGGGGACCTGAATTCAGATCTCCAGAGCCCAAGTAAAATGCCAGGTGTGGAAGGGCCGTTCTCAGTGTGAGCTCTGCAGTGAACACAGATCATCCTTCTGGAAGCCAGGAGCAATCTGGGAACTCAGTGCCCCCATGTCAGCAGCTTCTGAATCTTAGTAGTTTGTAGGAGCTTTTTGTATATGAAGGATACGTTTGACCTTCCTAGTTTGTGGTAGCTTATCCATGTCTTTGAAACATTTTTCTGTCACGGTAAAGGAGTGTATGAGCCTGTCTCAGACTTCTTTTCTTTATGACTAGGATTTTTTTTCCCCCTAAGCTGAGAGTTTCTTTTTTCTATATGTTTTCTTATACATTTCTTTATTGGTGGAGCATGAATACCAAGATTGGGGGCAGGCAACTTTATGCACTGAGCTATCTCATCAACTCCAAAAATATCAATTAACTGTTTCTTCTCGGTGGTGGGGCTCAGCATCACTTGGTTTGGGCATGTGGACTGTCCCCACAGGGAGAAGTGACAATCTGTGATCCCCTGGCTGTGAGAACACGAGCAGCAGGAAGGGCCTGCAGACTGCCCCACTTTGGGCTCTGCGTTGGAGCTGCGAGTGTTCTTACAGAACTGGGCAGAGGGGCCTTGTCCCACACCCGTTGGTGTCCAGATTTCCGATCCCCTCACACCAAAACATGAGAAGTCATCCAGCCGGTGGAACCAGAAGGTCCTCTTTACACACAGGTTAGGACTGAGGGCTCTGTCTAAGGGAGGCTGGTAGGGGATCTAGATGGGTGCATACCTGGGACCTCATTTGTATGTGGAAACAGGTGAGTTGTAGGGAACACATACTGCTAACATGATTCCATGTTCTGTGATTACAGACATGTCTCTGGATGCTTCCATCACTCAGGAATGGAGAGACTTGACAGTAGGAATCGAGGAGAAATGGGTGTGTGGTATGGATTCTGTCCTTAGGGAAGGAGGTCAGGCCAGCAGAGGACAAGACTGGGGGCGGGGACACATCACATACATACCACACACAGATACCACATCATATACACACACACATCACATCATACACACACGCGCACACACACACACAATCACATACATACCACACACAGATACCACATCATATACACACGCACATCACATCAATACACACATCATATCATATACAACACACACATCTTACCACATATATAAATCATATCATACACAACATGTACACACACATCACACACACATCACATACACACATCACATCACATATACTCACATATCACATCACAACACATCACATGACATACACACATCATATCACATACATACATCATATCACACACATCACATCATACATACAAATCACATTATATCACATACATGCACATCATACACATACATATCACATTACACAGCATCACATCTTATGCACATTAAATCATACACACATACACATAATGTTACATCACACACACACACGCGCGCGCGCACAGAGGAGACTACCGGCTAGCTATCTCTAATCCCCAGAATTATGAGTCAGTGGCTTCACGGCAGGTTTCCAGCTCTAGACAGGAAAAGCACAGACCAGTGTTCAGAGGACGATGCCAGACCAGGGACAGCAGTGGCTCACAGCAGGGACACAGGCTGAGCTGGATCCAGGGCTCCACTACACAGGCTATGAAGTCAGGTCCTATATACAGAGAATGGACATAGGTGAGGGTCCCAGAGCAATCAGAGGTGCCCAGGGACCATACAGCTAGGGCCTGGTGCGGGGAGCTCACCTCTACCACCCAGGATGGCTCCCGTTAGAAGGCCTTCATGCCAGAAAGTTCTGCCAGTACCTCCCGACAGTTCCCTGACCTCAACCCACCCATGGTTTCATCATCCAGCCCCACGCAGATCAGAGGTACCAAGGCACACACCTGTAAACACAGGCCCCACACAGATGCTCACAGTAGGCCCAGGTGCTCACATGTTCTCACATGTATTCACGACCCCACACAGGCACTCGTGGTGTACACAGAGTACAAACTCGAAAACATGCCTGCACGCACTTGCACACATGGTCATACACCCACATGCACACACACCGCCCAAAACAACCCGAGGCAGGGGCTATACCAGCCACGTGCCTTGATGCTAACCAAACTAACCAGTTGAGACTTGCTTAATTGCTGTTGGTGGGAGGAGCCAGCAGCAGCCAAGGATGCCTGCCAGCATGTGGGTGGGTGCCCTCCAGCCCCTTGCTGCTTGGTAACCAAACCCAAGCCTGGCCTCAGGAATGCTGAGCAGAGAAGAGAAAAGGAAGAATGCCCACACCCTATAATTTAAACATGTCCTTGTGGCACACAGCCTGCTCGGCCTTGAAAGTGCCAGGCCTCCTGTGGGCATGTGAAAGGCTGCCAGCTGAGTGGCCGGTGGGCATGGCCATCAGACAGGGGCACCCTGGCTTCCTAGCCCTACTGCAGCGACACTCTGGCTTCCTCCCTGCTCCTCAGGTTTGACCTGCAGCTGGGCACGGCTGAGGCCACAGGGTGGCATCCTCCTGCTCTCTCCTCATGCCCTGCAGCCCACTTAGGTCACCTGAGGACTCTGTTAGCTTACACCTACTGCCAGCCCCGAGGATGACACAGGCAACTGTGACCCGCTGTGAGCAGACTGCTGGTCCCCTGGTCCCTTTGACTCCTCAGACTTGGCTGACCCGAAGTGAAGTTCCTACCCTTTAGCAAGCCCACCTTTTCCCTCTTCCCCTCTGGTTTTTGCAGTGTGGTTTCTGCTCTCACTAGCCCCCACCCTCAAAGTCTTGACCCCCCAGGATGCAGGTCCAGCCTACTGGCCCCTGTTGGCATCCTGAGTGGGGATTTGGGTGGTTGTCAACTTCCTGGGGTAGGACATCACAAGTGACAGGGATTTGTGGATTTCCCAAACCTACCTTACCCCCATCTGTCAGGCCACACACTTTGACCAGAGTGTGTTCATAAGGTAGGGCCTGTCATTGTTCGTGGTTAATCCACGGAAGGGCTCTAATTTCGAACATGTGACACACCCTTCCTCAAGGTCCACATGTCTCCTGCTGGCCCATCTCTCACCACCAACACCCCTTCCCATGTATTCCTGAATGAATCACACTATTGCCTACCCCACGGCCTTTGCATGACTGACCCTTTAATCCTGTCCTCCAATGGGATGTTGCCCTCGAGAGTCATGGCCTGGAGAGTCTTCCAGATCTGCACCTTCCATCCCCCCCGAGTACTGCCCACCTCTTTCCAGGACAGATCGCCTTTTAGTTTAGTTTAGTTGTTTTCCCCAATTGCAATCTTAGCTAAACACTGGGTTCAGGTTTTATCCTCTGCAGTTCTACCGCTCCATGTTCCTATGGCTGGACACAGCAAAGGTGTTCCATAAATGCTAAGGGCTTGAGCACAGGCAGAAGGTGCCAAACTAGTGCCTGGGGTGGAGTGGTATTCACACCCTGGGGTGTAGGTTTCAGAGGCAGGAGTGCTGTGCTGGAGCAGAAGGTCCCCTGTTGAGCTATTTCCAGACTTTCTCTCATGGTAGACCCCTCAAGTCTCACCTCCTGGGGGTGGTTTGCTGTGCCGTGTGGTACTGTGCTGTGCTGTGCCATGCTGTGCCGTGCGGTGCCGTGCGGTGCCGTGCGGTGCCGTGCGGTGCCGTGCCTTGCTGTGCGGTGCCGTGCGGTGCCGTGCGGTGCCGTGCCGTGCCATGCTATGCTGTGCTTTGCCGTGCCGTGCTGTGCTGTGCCGTGCCGTGCCGTGCCGTGCCTTGCTGTGCGGTGTCGTGCTGTGCTGTGCCGTGCTCTGCTGTGCAGTGCTGTGTATACTGCAGGGTCTCCACTCCTTCCTCCTCCCTGTGTGTGTCCTGGCCAACTCTAACCTCCAAGTCACAGGGCTGCAACTCCACCAGCTGAGCCCTCCCTAGTCTCTGGGTACCTCTTGCTCAGCACTGGCCCCAGCAAGGGTGAACCAATCTCATCTTCTCCTAGAAGGCACAGACTGCCACCCCATCTGAGGAAGTCTTTCACCACACTGACTTTTGAGAGGGGTGATCATAGAGGGACCTGGAGCCTGGTCATGTAAACTGTGAAAGACTTGCCACCATGTCAGGCAGATATTGTGTGGTAACACTGGGGAGCCTGTCCTGCCAGATATCTCCCCCAAGGCCTCTGGGGCTCCCTTAAGTCCTGTCCCAGCCCTACTCAGCCCCCAGGGATTTTTTGTTGTTTTCTAGCCTTGCTGAGATGTCAGATGAACACTCTTTGTGCCTCAGTTACTGAGTTACATGGGGTGTCCCAACAGTCTTTGCTTCTATATGACACTCTGTCTCCTACATACCAGCCCTCAAAGAAACCAACCATCTCCCGCCTCCTATTCTTTTGAAGCTAACAGTCCCCACTCCCAGCACCCCTGGCCCGGAGAGAGTTGAACATGGGAAGGGAGGGATGAACACCCAGATCCTAGCCAGATATCTGAGAAGATCTGCCCACACGCCAGGGTGACCCACCAGTTCTGGGGCCTGGCTCCCTCATCGTCCCTAAAGATCTAGACAAATCTTGCTCTTCACTCTCTGAGGATCTAACACCCCAGAGCCTCAGGGACTTGGAGGCCTGCTGGGCCTGAGCGATCTGAATGCTGCCAGGACAGGGCCACCATCTCTGTCCACAGTCATAGTTCTGTTTGCTTGTCTGTCCAAATGATGTGTCTCCCTCTACCCCATCTCCCCCATCTCAGAGTCTCAGGGCCCGGCCCCCTGTCCTTCCCGTCACGCCAGCCTTACAGGCTACACCAGCCTTACAGGCTACACCAGCTGGCTGTCTTGTCCCTGTGTGTTTTGAATGCAGAGGAAGCAAGAGGACAGCTGGACCCTCCTGTACAGGAAAGACCTACGGCTTGCATTCACAAGGGATGGAAGGGCACAGAGCGAGTCGAACCCATGACTGCAGGCAGCTCAGCTGCAAGCCCATGCCATCTGAGTCATCCCAGCTTCCTGGAATGATGGATGGCATCAGTGTGTAAGGACACCAAGAGACCAGTCCTGACCAGTTAGGACAGGCTACAGCTTTAGTCTTCCAGTCCCATCTGGAAATTCTTTTAACCAAGTCCACTGTTTCCTGAGCTCATTTCTCAGTGTATGTGGTGGGGAGAACATGGCAGCCACCATGTCTGTCCCATCCCCTGAAGACTGTGTTTGGGAAGAGGAAGAGTGGAGGATGGTGACACCAGTGGAACTCCTGGGGATCTGGGGATGACAGGTGCAGGGATAGGTTAAGCCCTGCCCAGTGCTGTGGCCATGCCGCTCTCAGGAGCTGCTTACGGAAGTGCCAGGAGTTGTTTAACAAGGGTTAATGGCAACTATTGACAATTAAAGTTGACACCTATGCATGTCACGAATCCACGTGCAGATACATCGTACAGATAAAATGTCATGTATCTGCTTAAAAGTGAGTGTCATGGGGGCTGCTCTTCCAAAAGTCCTGAGTTCAATTCCCGGCAACCACATGGTGGCTCACAACCACCTGCAATGACGTCTGGTGCCTTCTTCTGGCCTGCAGACATACACACAGAATATGGTATGCATAATAAATAAGTAAAAAAGAAAAAAGAAAGAAAGTGAGTGTCATAGCCAGAAGGCCACCACTCTCCAGTTGCCCTGCTGTGTTTTCCTGCCCAATGTACCTGGTCAGCTCCTGTTCCTCGGGCTCATGTGGAGACAGCCCCCTCCAGAGTACTTCCACCATAGGAGCTGCCAAGCATGGACAGGCGGCTCTGCTGACTGTCTAGACTTTGGAAAGTGCCTGAGCAAACATGAGTGATGTAGATTAAATCCAAAGTGTGCCACTTGTAGCTTTCAGACCATGGCCAGCCCAGAACATTGACGAACTATTCCTTCAGGATTTACCAAGCTGGCCAACAGGCAGCTCCTGCTCTTACCAAATGAGTCGGGTTCTACCATCTTGTTTCACGTAGCTTTCTCTGATGCATAATATCCCACGGTTCACCTAGGTGTGGTAGATCGCTCCTTTAATGTCAGACTCCGAGAGGCAGACAGATCTCTGTGGATTCAAGGCTAGCTTGGTCTGCATAGAGACTTCCAGGCCAGCCAAGGGTTACATAGCGAGATCCTTCCCCCAAGAAATCTAAAACAAAACAAACAAACAAAAAGTTCCGTGGTGCACACATCCTTCGGCTTATGCCAGCTCTGTTGATGATGGGCATTGGAGTGGCTTCCAGTGGTGGGGTTGCTGTATATAATGCCACCAGAAGCAACTTAGTGTGCGTCTTTGAATAAAGATGAATATAGATTTTCTGCAGGAATATGTCCAAATAAACTACTGGGTCTGGGTGATCATGTGCCTAAGTTGAGCAGAGCCTGCAAAAGCATGTCATAGAGGTAAGTGTGTGCACGGGCATGTACACGAAGGAGAGGCCATAGACGAACTATGGCATTGTTCCTCAGATATTATCCACCTTGTGCTTTGAGGCTGGGCCTCTCACTGGCCTGGAGCTTGTCACTAAGATATCCTGGTTATCCAGATAGCCCCAGGATCCCACTTGTCCCTGCCTCTCGAGCGCTGGCATCTCAAGTGCAGGCTGCTGTGCCTGGCTTTTCACGCAGGTTTCTGGGACCAAACTCAAGTTCCCATGTTTACGTTTTGTTAACTGAACAACTGTGTCCTCAGCCCCATGTCTTAAGGTTTGTAGCAAGTCACACGCCGTCAGCACTGTGTGCATGTGTCAGACACGCTGCTTCCCTCCAGCACTGCCTTTTGCTTCTGCTTTAGCCACCCCGGGGACTGTCATACAGTAACTCCCCACGCGCTCAGTCCATTTTCCTCATGACCAACTTGTAAGATCGGCACCTCTTCAAACGTTCATCGCCGAGCACAATGACCTCCCTAATGAACAGGCCACATCTGTCACAGTGGCGTGTTTAAAAGATGACTGACATGAGGGGGACCCTCTGAGACGGTGTGTGTCTCGTGTTTGCCTAGCTGCAGGCCCTGTTCCCAGGCTGTGTCCCTGCTTTCCCCACTGAAGTCATCTCAGGCCTGGGATTCTTCACGGTTCTGGAAAGGGGACGTTATTAGCATTCCCTGTGGTCCTCAGCACATCCTGTGCACTATTTAAGAAAGAATTGCCAGTGGGCCTGGTGGCCCAGGCCTGTCATCCCAGTTGTGGGAGAGACTGAGGCAGGAGAATCACTAATTCAAGGCCAACATGGGCAACTTAGTGAGATCCTGTCCCTAAATAAAAAGTCAACAGTGGGATGAGGCTCAGAAGTAGACAACTTTGCCTAACATGTCCCAGGCCTTTGGTTCCATCTGTTCAAATACTCACAGGAAACCGTCACCCCTTAGCCACCTGTGTGGTGACTGTCACCCTTCGGTTTCTTCCTAGACCTCACTTGGATCCATTATCTCTTGGCAGCTGAATTTCACACAGACTGCAGACCGAGGGGCTGTTCCTCTCCAGGTAAGAACACACAGTTGACCCGGTCCCAATTGTTGAAAGATCCTGCCACATGCCAGTCACTGCATGTGACCTGCGCCTGTAGGTCTTTGTTCCCATGGGTGGAATGAATGTTTCAGCAATGCCACCATGTCTGAAAAGCCACTGTCCTCAAACTGCCCATCTCTCTGTACTGGCCATCTGTCTTTTACTTTGTTTGGGTTTGGGGTTCGGTTTTGTTTTGGATTTTGTTTGGTTTGGGTTTTTCAAGACAGGGTTTCATTGGGTGGCCCTAGCTGTCCTAGAACTCGCTCTGTAGACCAGGCTGGCCTCGAACTTACAAAGATGGAATGTTTGTTTTTGAGAAAGTCTCATATAGTTCAGGGTGGCCTCAGAGTTATTTTGAAGAGGAGAATGACTTTGAACTCCTGATCCTCATGTTTCTACTTTCCAAGAGTTGGGATGACAGGCCTGCGCCATCATGCCTAGTTCTGTGCAGGGCTGGGGTGGGAATCCAGACCTCCGCGTGCTAGGTAAGCACTGTCCCAACTCAGTCACATCCACAGCCAAGTAAAGGTACGACCTAGGCTCAGCTTGACTCTCTTGCCTCCCAAGTGCTAGGGTGACAGGCGATGCCTGTCCCTCCCCATTTTTGTCCTTTGTCATAAAGATTATGTATGCTCTAGTCTCTTTGGAATTTCCCCTGGAATCAGGAACCCCTCATCAGTGTCCAGCAAGAGGAACTTCACCAGGAAAATACAGGAATAAGGCAAAGCACACTCAGGAAAGAGCCATTGCAATGTCAGCCGGCGCTTCTCACAGCTGCCATGGGGACGCAGAGCTGAACTGATCTGTGCTGTTCACACAGATCTACCCAGGGGTAGATCCTTTTCTGGTCCATTCCATGAGTGATGAATGGAATCCCAGAGTGCAAAGACCACTGCACTGGCCCAGGCATTGCTCAGCACCTACTGTGCACCAGGCAAAGTCATCATGCCACTGTCCTTGTCCCCAGCCTCCCATGTACACCCCAGCTACCACAAGACACAAGTTGAGAGGTGGGGAAAGAAGGGAACCTTCAGGCTGGAAAATTACATGCAAAGATCTTGGGACGTGAGGGGACCTGGTGCGTGTGCATAGGGACCTTGAGAGGATGAAGGAGACCAGAGTTGAAGAAGAGGGCAAGGAAAGTGGAAGGGCCAATCCTGGATGAGGCATGCCAGCTCTCTGCTTGGAAGTGCCAGGGCTGCCAGAGGCCAGGAGGGAAGTGGGAGAGCTCCAGGAGGGGCTGCCCGTCCCACTGGAAGTGACAGTGGTCTGCCTATGGCAGGGACAGGTAGGTGATGGGCTGCAGAGATTGCAAGAACACAGACAGTAGGGTGCAAAACGGAACCTGGAAACAGGGTATTGGAGGACAGAGGAGACTCAGGGTGGGGACAGGGAGTCAGAAGCAAACAACCCAAACACTGAAGACAGCTGCAGAGACCACACGTGCACCAGGTCAGCTGCTAGTACAGAGCCAGGAGCACTGAACCCAAGTTAACACAAATGGATGATAGGGAACTCGTTTGCTTTGGATGGTGGGCAGACTTAGTGCAGTTGCCTCCCTGGTCACACTGCATACAGCACACATGCGTATTCTGTGAGCTTCACACATGTGTACAAGTGGGCTGGTAAACAGATGAGTGGATAGACAGCTAGGATGGTTGGATGGGTAAATGGTTCGGTGGGTGGATGGTTGGATGGATGGATGGATGGGTGGGTGGGTAGATGGAAGGATAGATGGGTGGATGGATGGATGGATGAATGGATGGGTGGGTAGATGGAAGGATAGATGGGTGAATGGATGGATGGATGGATGGATGGATGGATGGATGGATGGATGAATGCATGGTGGATGGATGGATAGGTGGACGAATGAATGGATAGGGGTAGATGGATGGGTAGATGGGTGGGTGATTGTCTAGAAGGATGGATGGCTGAATCTCCATTTGCAAGCACGAGTCATTTTCATTTGCAAAGAACTTTCTGTCGTTTCATATTTTAGCCTGCCTGTTGCCAGATGGCTGAAACACAACCTCACAGCTGGTCCCTCCTGAGATGAGCTAACCATCTCCCTGCACATGCATGTGAAAAATGCACTATATCCTGGGGTTTTTTTGTGGGGAGGGTGTCTTTTCTCTTTGGAAAGATGCTGAATGAGTATATGAGCTTCCCCAGAAGCTAGGCCACACACTCAGACCAAGCCCATATGAAAGTGGATAGAGACTGTCTGTGGACTGCAGTGTAGACAGCCCTGTCCTGTCCAGTGCTGTCATGCTTCTGTGCCTAGCCGTGACCCCCAAGGTCAGCTAAGACAAGTTTTCCCAGCCTTAGCTCTTTATTGCCTCAGCTCAGTAGGCCTGGTGGTGCAGGGGACCCTGTGTTTGGAAGGTCCAGGTGCATTTCTGCCTATGGGGTCTGCCTGATGGGCTTGAACTGTTGCCTTTTGGATTCAGGTGTTGCCGTTGTGTCCTGGGCTCCGCCTGTTGCCTGGCATTGCTGCCCAGACCACCTCCTTCTACGGGGAGAAGAGAGTCACTGGTGCATTCCAGAAGTCTCTCTGCATACCTGGAAGCCTGTGAGCCTTTCCTGATGAAATTAGATCTACTTCAGCTCTGACATCAGGGCTCCTGCTGAGGAAACATAAAGCCAAAAGCAAGAGGCTCTGAAGCTGTCCCTGCACAGGAGGTCAGGGGAAAGATGGTTGGGTAGCCACCCTCAGACGGAAGGTCCCAGGATGTGGTGACTGGAGCTGGAGCTCAAACCTGGATCCTCAGCCACTGTTGCTTTAAACGTAGGGGCTTTGGGGAAATTGATGTGAGTTGTGCCCTCGGTTTACCCTCTGTGACGGGCACCTCCAGAATGTTCACTTTGTGGGTTGGTGTTTCTACAGGCTTGTCCAGGGGGAAGGGTGGGGAAAACGTTCTCTCAGTGCCGGGAGGGAAAAATTTTCCCCTATTGAATGGTCACTTGTTATCTGCCCAACCCATCAGCACCAAACTCACTCAGCCTGAATCATCCTAGGGGTGAATTCTTCTGGGTGGCCCTAAAGGAGCCACTGTGCTGTGGGACAGTCTGCCCTGCTCCCTCGTGTGGAATCTGGGACTGGGGACCTGGAGGGAAGGATCCAGTGTTCGCCTTGGTGCGTCCATAGACTTCTCTACTGTCCCCTGTGGTCATCCCTCTGCCCACCCTTTGTTCTTCCTCCCTAGTACATCAAGAGCAGCTGCTCCCTTAACCTGGCCCCAGCCCAGCAGTTTCTCCACCTTGAGGTTCCTGGGGTCTCCTAAGGTCCTGCCTGTCAATGACCCTGTAGTTAGAGAACTCTTCTAGTCTTGTCTGTGGCAGCTGTGAATCCACCCACGTTGTTCAGGGGAGGGCCAAGGACTTCTGGGACTTTGGCTGGACCCTCTGGTTGTTGCTGCCTATAGCCTAAGACCCTTCTCTCTGATTCCTTCACTGGGCTCTACTTACCCCAGTGTTGGGCTCTTCTGGGCGAATCTTGGGAATGTGGACTGAGGAGCACACTCATGCCTCCACTGCGGAGAACACCCATGGAAGCTCTGGGGACATGGGCAGTCCTTGGTGTGAAGGAGCCTGATAATGGTTTGGATGCGCATAACTAAAGCCATCTCTAGCTGGGAATCACAAATCCTTTTGCTGCTGGGGCAGTGGTTTGCCCTGTGATCACCGATTTTCCTCCCTCCCTTCTTTCCTCCCTCCCTCCCTTCCTTCTTCCTTCTTTCCTTCCTTCCTTTCATGAACTTTTTCCAAAAAAAATCTTTTTTAAAGATTTATTTTTATTTTTCGCTTCTATATTGCATCCCAACCACAGCTTCCCTTCCCTCCTCTCCTCCCTGTCCCTTTTCCACTTCCCCTCTGCCCCAGATCCACTCCTCCTCCATCTCCCTTCAGAAAAAGGAAGGCCTCCTAGGGACATCAACTAAATATGGCATATCAAGTCACAATAGGACTAGACATGTCCCCTCATATCAAGGCTGAATGAGGAAGAAAAGGGTCCCAGATGCAGGCAAGAGTCACAGACGGTGGGAGATCAGACTGTGACATCTGTCACCCCCACTGACAGCCAGGGTTGACTCCACTAATCTGGCTGGTTAGGCAGTATCCCCTTCCTCCCTCACTGCTCCATGTGCATCCTTATCGAAGTTGTGTGCTTGTGTTAAAGAGGAAGAGGACGACCTTCCCAAATAAAGGAGGACCATTCTTCGGCCAAGGGTATAGGAGTGGCTGTGCTTCCTTGCAAAAATCTCCAAACAAACTCTTAAGATCACTGCTATTCTAAGCTGTTGCCCGATTTCAGACTCCATGATGGTAACTGGGAATCTGTGGCCCTGGAACTGGCTGTCTCTCCAGATGATTCCCTACGAGATATGAAGCCCGGGGTCTTCAAGTCCTATTATCCAAGTGTCCTGACAGTCCCCAACCCTCCTGGATTAGCCAGTTGTGGAGGACTTTGGGGATGTCCAAGACACCCTGCTTCTCCTCGGTGGACTTTCCATGATGGAAAATGGGAGAGCCTGGGAGCAACAGGCTTGGTTGGTGTCCTGGAATGTGCCCAGAGCCATTCAGCCTTCCCACACCTAATTCCCAACAAGTAGCCATTCTGGGATGGTTGCAGGGCAGGGCAGAGACCAAAGCCTGTGGTCTCGCCTGCTGATCTGAGTGTGGTCTTTCCCTTGGCTGACCAAAGTTCACCCCCTCACAGCCATGATCCCAGGCAGAGCTGCCCACAGCCCTTGCAGTCTCTGGAAAGACAAATAAACAGTCACACAGAGGCAGCATCTCTGGATCTCTGAGTCTAGACAGACTGTGCCCAGACAGAGAGACCCCAGATGGGGTCACCTCCACGGGAACTAGTTGCGGCCAGTGTGAGGGAACCAGTCAGACGCCCTTGGCTACAGAGAAGCTGCAAAGACAGATCGTGTCTGTGTCTGGCGGGACAGAGCAGGGTGGGTATCTCCCTAGCAGTCAGTGCAGGCCTCTGGGACTGAGTCTGGCAGGTAAAGAGCCAAGAGCACAGAGACCTGAACAGCCAGTGTGTTTCTGTATGTCTTAGCCATCCCTGCCCTCTGAGTGCTGGGTCCTCCCAGTGCAGGCAGCGGTCAGGACGAGAGACCGTGGGTGACCTGGACAGCCACACACAGACCCTCCATGGCATGAGGAAGGTAAGGTATGTGGCTTAGCTGGGCTCTGGCCTCCCAGCAGGACCACTGGAGAAGTTCTAAAATTGGATGTGTTGAGCATCTACTTGGGGTCTTCCTGTCAACCCACCTTGCTGATTCCCTAACAGTTAGTGGCACATGAGACCCCATGACCATTTATTTATCAGGCATGGGGAACTGAGGTCCAACTGATGTTCTATAGCAGTAGCAGAAGGGACTCAGGTCTGTGGCCTGACTCTTTGTCACACAGTATCTTTGCGAAGCCCTTCAGGGATGGTTCTTTCCAGTGAGTTTAGCTATTTCTCAGTATCATGTTTGACGAGGATGGAAGCGTCTTCATATATAGATAGAGAGATAGAGGGAACTCATTTATTGAGAAGCCACCGTATACTGGTCAACTATTCCCCACCTGCTGCTATTTCACCACCTCCAGCTTCTCCACTGGCCTCCCTAGCACCCCCAGCATCCTGTCCATTAACTCTAGCAGCATCTTCAGAATCCTCACCAACATCCCCAGCAGCATCCCTTGTGCCACAGCAGCGGGGGCATCACTGGCATCCCAGATCATGCATCTCGAATATCTACTACACACAGAGGTGAACCACAGATTTCTCGCGAGTGGGATGCAATGCTTCTGAGGAGGGATTTCTTTTTTTTTCTATTGATGATTGGAGACTAGACACTGTCCCGCATCCAGCTGGCTTTGCCGTGATGGGGAAAAGTAGAAATGACAGGGAGGAATGGACATGAGAATGGAATAGTAAATGATGATATAGTCTCCCCGGTCACAAGGAGGGATGGCAGTGACCTGTTCAACGGTGGAGTTCTAGAGATATGGTGACCCCGGTCGAAGCAGGATTGGTGCACCTGGCCTGCTGAGAGCTCCTCCACCCACATCCAGGGTCCAGCTGGTATCTGTGTGGCAGCATGGCTTCTGGGATGGCAGTGCAGAGAAGATCCCGTATGTGCACTGCGTAAGCTCAGGTCGGGGAAGCTCCAGCCCAGCTCCAATGCTGAAGGCTCTGTGGAGTCACTTCAGATCCTGGTGAGGATGCGACACAGTTTGTTCCCACAATGCTGGAACCTTCTGCAGGTTTGGTTTGCTTTTATCTATCTATCTGTCTATCTGTCTATCATCTATCTATCTATCTATCTATCTATCTATCTATCTATCTATCTATCTACCTATCATCTATCTATCATCTTTCTTAGATTAGGTCTCACAAGGTCCCTGGAACTCACTGTGAGGAGCAGGTCAGCCTTGAAGAGATCCACTTGTCTTTGCCTCCCAAGTTCTGGAATTAAAGGTGTGTGTCACCAAGCCAGGCAACTTTTCAGCTTTAATGTAAGTTGACTTTTTTCCATATGAGTCCATCGCTCCTCACACCCCAGCAGGAAGTTACATGCTATCACATTTAGAGGTTCCTGTGACACCCCTGAGCATTGTGTGTGGCCACATGTGGGTATGTACAGGGCATGTTTGGGCACATGGAAGGTGTATGGGGTTCAAAGTTGCTCAGAGAAGAGGCTGAGCTCATCATGGGGCCTCACAACAACACTCTAGGAAGGAGAGAAAAGTTAAACTGAGGACTGTTGACACCCCAAGACCAAAGCCATGTCCTCTGACTTACTACTCACTGCCATGTAGCTGCCAGCTGATCCTGGTGGTCTCACCCTGACAGCTGGGTGCCAATAGGATCAACCATCCTCATAGGAGAGTCTAAGGTTCATTCATTCATTGCATGGATCATTCTAGAGAGGCCACGAATGCTTGGTGTGTCCCCAGAAGTTGACCTTCTAGAAGAAGGTCATAAACTTCAAGAAAGCAGGGAAGATGGGAGGCTCTGTCTAGAGAGGCTTTCTCAGGTGGTGAAGACTGGAGCTCAGGAAACCGGATATTAGGTAGCTATGGTGACCATGAGAGTTGGGATAAAAGGTATATGGGGTGGGCATCCCAAGCCCTGTGCCTCTGTCCCTAAGAAGCCCACTTCCTGCCAACACTGATTCCAAACACATTGACTTTTGTCTTGGGTGGTGGGGCTGTGAGAATCCATGGGCATCCCTGAATGCGAAGACTGCAGTGTGGGGTTCAATGCAGGGTGGGGGTCTTTCCCAGGACCCTGTCTAAATTCAGGGTATCAAAGAGGTTGGTTTATAGTAGGAGGTCTTTTGACTCGTGTCCTCACATGACTGGCTGGAGGAAGGATGGGACTCTTTAGAATTATTTCTCATGATGGTGCCAATTTCATCTCAGGGTCACACACGTGACCACACCTACCTATCACCTCCCCCAGCCCTGCCTTCAGACAAAGTGGAATCCGTGTCTGGCATTGGCACAGGGAGCTGGATTCTATCTATGAGATGGTTTTATCATGTGGGCCTGCTTAACAAATCTATTTGTGGAAAGCAAGAACGAGCAGGTCCTGCTGGCAAAAGTAGAGTTGTTCCCAGCCTGCTGGGCACTTGGCGTCTCCTGGGTCCTTGCCTCTTTTCTCATGTGTCTGGAGGATTTGAGTGGACCTCAGAGGTGGCTGGCAGGAGGTGGGCTGCTCCACACCTGGGGGCTAGCAGGGGCAGGGTCTGGCATGGTAGTTGTATCGGCTCCAGTCTGTCCACCTGCTCCACTCTTTCTATTCTCTCTTCTTTTCTCTGTGGATCCTTTGGGTTCATTCATCTCAACTCACACCCGCTTAGAAACCTGATCATCAAGGCCACTTTGAACCTATCTGTCCCCTTTACTCTTTACACAGAGAAGGGTTCTGCTTGGGTCAAAGAATCAGAAAGGAGTAGCGATGGGATGAGTGGGTGAATGTGTGAACTAGAGAAAGGGTGACGGACCGAAGGAACAAGCGAATGAATGAATGAATGGGCATGTGAATGAGTGAATGGCTGATCTAAGGAAGGAACAAGCTAATGAATGAGTGAGCGTCAGGGAAGGATTAGTGAGAGAGTCCAGGAGTGAAGGAGAAGGCTGGAATCAGGGCTAGCTGCGTTAGCGTTTGCTTTTTTCTACTCTCCCTGTGCCCTGAGCATGTTCCGCCCACATCCAGACCTCAGCTTTTCATAGCACAGCAGACCCAAAGGCTCTAGGTCGTCTCAGGGTGCAGGTCCCTGTTTTCTTGCTGAATCCGAGGGCTGCTTGATGACAGAGTGGATGAGTTGAGGACTGTAGCTGTCTGTCACCCCAAGTGCCCTCCCACCTGCGCTCAAGCTACTGTACCTGCTTAGTAAGGCGAGCAGAGAGTCTCCCCGCTTCCGACTGTAGGTCTCTCTTCACCCTTGCCCAGGACTCAGCCCCATGGTATCACGGCTTGAACCTATGTCTAACCCCTGCCTTGAGTCGCCTTGGGCAAAGCCCTGGGGACTCTGTCTAGTCGATAGGTTGACCCCTCTCAGTATGGGTGGAGAGATGGGTTGAGTCGGTCTGCCTGTCTGAGGATCCTAGGCACTGTCAGCTCCCAGCGTGGACTCAGCTTTAGCCTGCTCCAAACCCAGAGGCCTCTGGGAGCAAGCCTGACCACACACAAGCTCCCCAGGCCCAGACGCACTCCACCCTTTCCGCGTGGCCTGCACAGGACATTACTTCATTGGGAGTGGGGGTGGGGGTGGTGCAGGCAGCAGGCCGGGCCAGCGGATTGAACCTGGAATGTGCGTCTGGCTTTGCTGCTGTGTGTCCAGTGGGAGAGAATGGGTGGCTGAGAGGCTGCTGGGTGTCTGGGGCTCAGATGGAAGGATATTCTGGAGGCTTGGAGGTGGTCAGGGCCTTCCTTGTCCACCGACTCTACTCGCTGCAGCCAGAGAGTCAGAGACTGTGG